GCCATCAGAGTGAATGCGAGTCAGTCTTCTCCTTTTCCAGAATGTTGACATCAGTCACAGATCTTAGCAAGGACCCTTGTTTAACTCAACACCCAAACAGCGTTTTTCCCTTGTATTTTATCTCTACACCTGTTGCTACAACTACCTGACTAACTCGTGTTCCTTATTAGGAAATTTCCTTAGGTGCATTTTGTAAAAATATTCAGTCAAGCCTTGTCCCTTCACCGGTTCTCCATGGTTTGACCCTAGAACATCTCAGTAATCAACTCAGTGGAGTACTGGGTGCGTATCCATCAACCAAGGACCAGCCCAGAGGCAGTCATCCTTCAGCCTGTAAGTGGTACTGGAACAGTATTGAGGTCTGTGTAATGGAATTAGACCAACTCTAGTCCCCTCTCTATTCCATCATTCCCCCCTCTGTGAAATCTTAACTTAACAGTTTGACAATAGCAGTTTTGCTGTGCAGTAGCTGATGGGAATGTAACATGATCTCTGTCTGTAGCTCGTGGCCTCATCTCCTCTCACCAAGGCTGCAAAATCCCAGCAGCAGCCTAACTGACAGCTCAACTCTGTCTGGCTTTGACTGACAGCATACAGGGTGTTGTGTAGTCTTTGCTGGTTCTTAGGGGCCCAACTGATCTCAGGCCTCTGTGGCGATCATCTGGAGCATCACAAAGAGCAGCACAGGAATGGATGAAGGCTCAGATCAGTCTGGGAGCTCTATCACATCTGTTTGGCTTTATACACATGACAGGTTACATGGAGGGCTGTGGTCTCTTTGCTCTCTGCTCTAGCTTAAAAGGCCTGTCAGACAAACTCTTCGAGCATCGCTCAGGTGTGAGCCTGTTGCTCTGATAACACACACACACACACACACACACACACACACACACACACACAATGCAAGTACAAAGAAGAACATGCAGACTCAGCTGCCGCCTGCACATCAATGCATACTAAAACCTCTCCACTAAGATGGTCTCAAATAATCAAGCCACAGAAAACGTCAGTGCAAGTGTCAAAATAATATTTATTACATCATTTCACAATACCTCCTCTTCTTCTCATGGCTAGAGAGAAACTGAAACTGTACCTATCTATGTTTGAAGTGTCACAGATAGTAGTTTGCAAATGTTCCATAGCTATCATAAGACTAAAGTGTTGAAATATGACAATTTTATGCAGTATTTTATGCTTACTTGTAGAGAAATTTGACAAATTTCAGACGCTCTCTATATGGGCCGTCTATAAGACTTTGTCTAATTTATGCCAGCAATTACCTGGAATTAACTACCAATTAAACACTGTCTGTAATTTCTCTAAGTACCAAATGACATTTCTTGCAGGAAATGTCTTGGAAGTATTCAAAAATTATGCGATCATAAAATAAAGATCTATTTAAAGGTCTTCTAAAATACTTGAAGATATCTTTTTATATCATGCTCAAATATGCCTCAAGCAAAGGATGGGTATTAGTGAAACTTACATACAGCAGCAAAAATCAACAAAACCTTTGTTGTGTTCTGTTCACTGAGCTCTTATCTGATTGGCTGCACAGTCAATTCATCTAAAAATGGTAAAAGTTAAAAGAAAAGAAAAAAATTCTATGATGAAAAATATATGTTGACCACCTATTTTTCAAGATAAAAATGAAAAAACTAAATAAAAACATTTGATAATGAAAACTATGATGAAATGTTTTACATTTTTCATTAACAAATAAAAAGAAAACAATGTGAAAGAGACGAATGGACATGAAGTCACTTAACGACCTGCTGTATCTGTGGAATCATTAACTGTCGCTACCAATCAGCAAAAAGTTTCCTCCACCAAAATATCTCTTGTTCAGAAGTTGATGTCTTTCAATACCGTCTTACATTCAGTAACATTAGCATTAGCGCTTCTTGGAAGAAACAGGTTTTTGAACCAAATTCATTTACAATCAAGAAAATTACACACAAAAACCACTGGGACACGAGGAAAATGAGGCACCATGCTATATGAAATGCTGGGGATATAGATGCAATATTAACATTCTTTTTGAGCACGGAGAACACCGAGTACATTTAACTCTGAATTATATTTTACAGCTATTTAGATTCCTATTTCCAATAGTGGCTGTGTGAAAGCAATTATACATATCACCAAATGTGGACATTATAGATGAAATGCTACTGGATTAAATTTTTTTCTACCCCTTTGCACAAATACGCTATTTAAATTATTAAAATATGTTGCTAATTTAGGAATTAAGGTTAAAGCAACTAGGCTAAATCCAGAGAACTGAAAAATGTGGCCCTGCTCATTACATATTAGTAACTGAGTATTTGGAGTCCATATGTATGTCCACATTAGTAATATAAACATGAATTACAACAAATCCCCCAAAGCAATAGGTTGCAGAAGAATAATTTCTTCCTGTGTGTATACACATGCCTGTGCGAGCACGCGCACACACACACACACACACCATCTTTTTTTTAAATGTGTAGCAGGGAATATTTGGGACTAAATAACCATTACAGGGGGTAGACACAGTCTGGAATATAAAATGCTGTCAATACTGTGAAGCGGAGTTTGAGACCTTCTTATCTACAGACTGCTTTAAGACATGGCTTTCACTTCTCTGCCTGTATGAATAAAAATCCACATGAATATATTTGCCTACAGTCTTAATTTTCAGTTTTAGTGGGAAAAAAAATCACAATCTGCCTAAATTAAATGTATTAACTTACTGCATTCTATTTTGTGGTTTGTATTCTGACATGACTCCCTATTTTGCATTGCTTATTCTTTTCTGCATTTTATCATCTGACTCTTTTCCTGCCCTTCCTGCTCTCTTCTTCTGATTTCCCCCCCCAAACTCTTTCTCTCCTCCCATCTACTTGTTCTGCTCTCTCTCTCTCTCTCTCTCTCTCTCTCTCTCTCCTTCATTTCCCCTTGCTGCTCATTTTTAAATCTATGAATTTCTGAACATCATTTTCTTGATTTTTCCACACCCAAGGGAGACATTCTCATTGCGGCCGTTCTCTTTTTTCACCTCATTTACTCTCTCCTGAGTGAATCTCCCAGACAGGATGTGAGGTGTGAGTGTGGCCCATGGAGGTTGGGGAGGGGAGGGGGAACGTGTGTTAAATGTGTCCATGTTGAGTATACTAGTGTCTCTTCCTCTCCAAAAAGAAAGAAAAACTGGGATGGAGGGTCAATGCCATACCAAATCCCATCCCACTTATGACTACAGGAGACATACTGTACAGTAACCCTTCTTCCCTTTCAGCATCCAAACTGTAAAATTAACCACGTCTTTGAGAGACTTCTACTCCTTGGCACGAATGTGCCTCATCCCACAAGACCTCACGCTCTTAAGGGATATACACTTCTGCCTTTTATGAGGCTTCAACTGTGTTAAAGAAATGTTTTTGCCTTGAGTAACCATATCTGGGCAGAAACCGGGGTATAGAATATGGACAGCCCCTCAAACTCTGCCACCCTTCAGTGAGGTGCCACATGGATGAAATTCAAATTATACCTTCTACATACTGTACCACAGACATTGATGAAACCCTCACTCCTCACTCACATATTAACGGAAAGCTCTGCATTCATTTGAGCGAGCAAGCAAGAACTGCTTCAGTAATTTCTATGTTCTGTATGTGAAATGTTAAATATACCTATCTACAGGCAGAGTTAGGTTTGACTGATATGTCTTACAGCCTCAACAATTTTGGTATGTACTGTATGTGTGACTGTGGGTAGCTTCTGCACCTTATGGTGAAGAAGATCACGGTGAATGAAAGAAATCAGTGTTTGTGAATAGATGCGTGTGTCGTTGTATGTGTAAATGTGGGTGGAGATGATGAATCACCAAACTGATTAAAAAGGACAACTATTGTGAAGGGGAAAGACCAAATTTCAATACAGATTCTAATAAGGTAATTTAGGAGCTCTTGACATGTCCTGTTAATTTAAGTGGGAAGATGATTTGAACAAAACTTACTTATGCTTGGACAGAATCTACTGAATAGGGGACAGCAACGCTGATTTTAAATACAATTTTTCAGAATTAGTACTGTACAAATGCTCCTTTACGCATCTCAAAAATTGTATGCCCCCAATTTTTAAGAGAAAAAACACAAAATAGTGCTAAGTAAAAATGGGATTTATTAAAAGAATAGGGTTAAGTGGTGCATGCCGTGGTCTGGCTAAGTGTAGAGTACTTAACGTGTTAGAGAGAAATGGGCAGGTATAAAGACATGAGCAACTTTAATAAGTGCCAGATTGTTATGGCCAGATGACTGGGTCAGAGCATCTCCAGGTCAGCCAGGTTAGTACCTGCTGACCTTGGTCCATGGAGGGACAAAGCACAGAGACAATCCTGTCTGCCCTGAGCCGACAGAAGGACTACTGTGGCTCAAGTCACTAAAAATGTTTAATGATTATTATGAGAGCAATGTGTCACAACACACTGCATCTGCATGTGGAACTGTGTAGCTGCAGAGCCCATGCTGGTCATGTTTTGGCTCATTGAATATTACAAAGTAGAGGAGTACAGAAGAGATAACTCTATGATAATGGCCACTTCAGAATGTGGGCAGAAAATCATCCAAGAAGTAAAGTACTAGTTAAATTACAGACGATGCTACTCTTGACAAGAAATGTTCCTGACAGTAGTTTAGCATTAATATGATTACATATCGTCTCATCCATAACAGCCAAATGCCCAACATTCACTGGCCAAACCAAAGCCAGAAGGTACCTTCTAGCAAATCTTGAGAGCAAAGTGTACCGAATGACACTGCTCTCCTTGAACGATGTAGTAAAAAGTTATTTACATTTCAATTTCACATTGTAATTTGAATATATATTATAAAAAAAACACCACATTTGTACGAACAGAAACTTACCAGGAAAGCCATGTATATACAGTAGGCATCTGTCCACAAGGGTACAGTGTGTGTTTGTGCACAACAGTACTAAGATGTGAAGCATCATCCTCTTACCTCCAGGGCTTTTCTCTTACTGTTGAGCAGCTTGGAGATGTCCCGTGCCACTCGCTCCACCAAGTCCTTGGGGTTGTTCCTCTTGATTTCAAACTGGCTCTTCTTCTCATTATAAATCTGCAGATGGAGAACGCAGAACATCAGACATCAGGTTACAGAAGTCATTAATTTAATTAAAAAGATCACAGAGGAGCTGCCTGCTTATTCTCAAGGTAGCACACAAAATGGTAAGCATTTACTGTTAGAGCAGGCAGTACGCAATCTGCCATTACACCCATAAGCCGAAGCACCGTAGCAGAATTAAACACAGAACAGAGCCTTAATGGCAAAGCACTTAGCTAGCCAGCTGCAGTCTGGCAGTCAGGCAGCCAGGATCAAATTAAATAAATACAAACTCCAGCAGAGCCTCACTGCTGGGTAAACACCTTGTATCTCCACAATGGTAGCTCCCTTGGATCGAAGACAAGCCTTACCGACAGTCTGGTGACAAATCTGAGACTTAATCTAATGGGTTACTGAAGGCTATATTAAACCCAACAGGCTGTAACATTTTTGCAACCTATGAAGGATGACAATCCCTTAGTTAAAGTGAAAATAGTAATTACAACACTTTCGTTCAGAAACAGCAACACATCAAGCACTGTTACTGGGAACTACACAGAACAAAACCTGTTCAACACGCCCAGACTTTGTAAACCTTATAAAACAAGTCAGAGAAATGCGTTTGGGCCTCACAGGGGACTGGGATGTTTGGAAAAAAAGGAGCATCCAGAGGCAGAAAGCCAGATGCATGGACCTCTGACAGACTGGGATACTTGGGAGATTAGTCTGCTTCCCATGGAAGAACTGTGCAGGCCGAGTCAGCAGCCTCGCTCTCTATAGGATCTGTAGTCTACAGCAGAGCACCACCTGAGGGATTACCACTTATCCTGCTGCCCTAAGACATTGCAAGAGCCACTTTCACAGCATAAAACCATTCTGTTCAGTTCTTCAGAAGAAAGGCTTGTTTTTATTGAATATGTTAAAGCAATTAGGCCCTTCTTAAGTCTAAAATGCTAGGCTAGAACGCTGCATTTACTAAGGTTGTGTGCCTAGAAATCAATCTTTTAATCAAGTACACACTTTATATTGAACTTTTCATAAATCGAGATGTGATGCAGCACATTTCACACAGGAAAAAAGTGCAATGAAAAATATGTAAAATCAAGAGTAAAGGTTTATTTTAAGCTTTCACTAAAGTCACCATATCAAAGGCGACTCCAAAGCCACAACAAGCTGAACAAAAGAAGTCATACTTATTTTACTGTAGCTAATGATTAAAGTCGGTTGATCCTCTTCTCATTATATGCTTTAAAAAAAAAAAGACGTTTTGAAAATTAATTAGAAAACCAGTTAGCCAGCACAGGGACATCAATGCAGGTTTGAAGTAAGCCTCTTCTTAGGTCCAACAAAGAGTTTTTAAGCACAGTCACTTACATTTCTCCTGTGGTCGAATGGTAGCTTATATGTTACCTTCCTTAAATCTGGCATGTGTGAGCATTAAAATTAGTTCATGTCCTTCAATGAAATCCCCAAAGCTCTCTCCAGTTCTGAGCAATATGCTACCCATACTGTAAATTGACACAAATGTAGTTAAGCAATCTAGTCTAACATTATGTCACATAACAGATGTAAAACTGCACAGCAATGAAAGCTAATATCAGCCTTACTGATGATGTTTACTGAGCCTTACAATGAACCACACAGAAAATACAACAGAAGGGCCAGCAAGGCTGTAACTTGTCTCTGGGAAAAGGTATAATGATAAAACAGAGAACTTTTTACCAATAAACATTTAACAACCTTAAGTTTTGCAACTAGACTGGAACATGCTGTTATTAAAACAAAATCTAAGAAGCAATGCTTTCTTTCATTGAATTAAACTAGTAAATGTGGGGACACACTATTCTTACAGTATATTTTATGTTATCCAATATCTCTTTCAGTCACTGAATGAAAAGCAGACCACACATTTTGAGAATGAAGTACAAGCGCCTCACGCCTGACCTCAGAACCCGTGATGACACTCAGACATATTATCTAAGACTTTAGACCTGCTTGGTCTTCCTACCAAGAAGATAAAGCAAACAGGGAAGCTCACAGGAACAAGTATTAAAAGAGCCAGGGAGTGACCAGGACATTTTGTTAAACAAACTGAAGGTGAGTATTTGCAGCACAGCAGCCTGCTGCCATTCTCCTGCAGGACCCCTGCAATTTGTGGGCTCATCAGCAGGCACTGTTCACAGTGAGTAAGCCATTGTTTGTATTTATTGTGTGATTAAGGTTGTGATTTAATTAAACTATGCTATTGGGGCCTTGGGGGTTCCACTGACTACAGGCAGGTGACAACTTAAAGAGAAAACATGAATAAATGAGTGGTCTCTTTCAGGATGGCAATGCCCCTATCCATATTGTTTGTATGAAAATTATATGAATCAGATGCTATGGCCTTCACAGTCACCAGATCTCAACCCAGTTGAACATCTATGGGAGATTTTGAACTGACATGTTAGACAGTGTCTCCACCAACATCATCAAAACGCCACGAGGGACTGTCTTTCAGAAGAATGGTGTTCATCCCTCCAGCTGAGTCCAGAGATTTGTAGAATCAATGCCAAAGAGCACAAGTAAAAACAAAATCAGCACATCTCCTGATTGACTGGTTACCAACTAGTATTCCCACATTTCTTTTAGACTGTCAAAGTCAGGATCTCTTGCTCTGTTATGAAATATGTCTGTGGGATTGATGTACAGCAATTGGGAAAGGAAAACACTGCTGTCCATATGCTCCATCTCTGTCAACCTGAAAGCTGGGCAGGCAGCCAGAGGCCGTTTCCTTCCACTGGCCCAATGAGCAGACAAACCTTTCCCCAGCAGCTCAAACCATGCCAACCAGGCACTCTGGCAAGATTGCCTGGTGTCTCATTTTGTACCCCTTCTGAGGATGAGGGATGCTGCTAAGTCTCAAACAACACTAGGGCTACTTCTTACAGTGAAATGTGAAGGTGAAATCTGCATATTCCATCATAATGCAACAAAAAGAAAAAGCTATTTAAATGTTTTCTGATGAGTGAAACAGGTGGCTCAATTCATTTAGTTTGGTTTCTTTCGTTTTGTACTTCAGTTACTCAACCTGAAAAAGTCATTAGTCTGCAATTCAACAGTCCCTGCACACACACATCAGTCATTACCCCTCAGCTCTGAATGAGGCAGCCCTCAGACCTGAGACCAATAATCAGGTGAGCATTTGCATACATGACCATACCCACACATTTGCACATACATACACACACACCCATGGTGACACACGCCATTTCAGAGGGCTTTTTCTCAAGGTGGAAGAAGCCATTAATGGAATCTTATTAAACCATAAAACAAGAACGGAGTTTTCTCCGCTCCATTGACAGACTACAAAGCCCTGACTCTTTTAAGCGATGCATTTTTCCAAGTCGATTTAAAAACCATGTCAAATTTGTTTTTAAATCAATATTCATTCCCTTAATGCGTGGTAGTGCTCGCTAGGTCTGCCTCTCTCTCAAAGATTTGTGGCAGGCTCTGGGACATTGCAGACAGAGCGGTCGCTACCGTGAGCTTAAGAGTCAAAACACGAAAAACTGAGGTCAAAGAGACTCAGTGTTTTATGTGAGGATTCTGAACTATGCTTGCAATTGTTATAATACACAGTAATGTCCATTTTTGTTGTGAGAATCAGTTTTCTAAAAACTGTTCAGGGAATATTCTACAAGAGGGATTTAAAATATATTCAGATATTCTGTACAACTGCTACTATAATCATCAAACAGCCTAGTTGGAAAATGCACTACTTAATTATGTCCTCAACGCATAGAGCCAGAAAACCACAGAGAAATCAAGTCCGCCAGTTTCATTGTGGTCCAAAAATGTATGAAAATTAGCTGCTGCAACACATGGTCAGCTGGTGAACGCATACCATCACCTACTGTAGGTCACAAACAAATCTGTTTAACTGGATCCATATACTGTGTAAGCAAAAGGCCCAGGCAAAAACTGCAGGATACAGTTTATTCTCCATTGACCTGTATGGATTTTGCACTTAGGGACATGGAACCAAAAGTAAAACACAGGGCTGACCAATAAGTCAGTATTACCAATGAACATCTCCCCAATAAAACTGTTATAATTTGCACATTGAGATTAGTGTTCTTTGATGTCTTCATAATAGATTTAATATGTAATAAAAATAATATATAGCAGTTGATAGATCATGATCATATACCATGGTCCATGATCCCTCAGTTTAAATAGGCATGACACCAGTGTACTGTATCTACCTACACAGCGTTCCCGTCTCCAGTGACCTATATCTAATTGAGCTGCCACAAACAGCCCTCGTATCAGTTTCTCTGCCTCTGTGTTTGTGGCCTATTACAGATGTTTGCCTGTTTTATCCTTTTTATCACTCTACCCAGACTAATACAAATGAGAAACAAACAAACAAACAAAAAAAGATATCTAGTACTGTAGGGTGCTCATCTCTCAGACAGGTTGGCCATTACAAGTTCCTGAAAGGGGCAGGCGAGATCCTAATCCGTTCTGAGAGAAGACTGAACTGTGCTGTCAACCAGACAGCGCTCCAGCCCATGAAGTGGCAGGCGGCCACTGACCGTTAGGCTGGAGGAACACTAACTGCAAACAGATAGCAAATGGTACTGCTGCCCACAATGGACCTGAGAAACTTTAAATGCCTTTTCGCTAGAGGCTGGAGATGAGTGACCATCATCGCTGTAGGGCCATAAGCACATCAGCCTGCTTGAAATTATATTTGAGTGCTGTAGAGCTTGACTCACTCACAGGTAATGGGACAACAACAGCACCGAGAGCTGTGGCAGGCAACTTCACAGTGTTTGAGCAAATTTGGTATGATTGCCTATCTACTGCAACTACTCCAGTGTTTGGCATCCAGTACAACAAACCTATGAGTATCGAAAATAATTAGCTGGTTTATTTCAAATTTACTTCAGAATTTGCTTCTGAATTCTACTGCAATGCACCGTGCACAAAATCCAACAAGAACGATACATAGTCAGTGGTGGAAAAAG